GAAGGTGTGGGAAAAAGGGAACCCTCTTGCCTTCTTAGTGGAAATGTAAACTAATGTACTCACTACAGAGAACAGATGGAAGTTCCTCAGGAAACTAAAAATAAAACTCCCATATGACCCAGAAATCCAATTCTTGGGCATATATCCTGAGAAAACCACAATGCAAAAAGACACATGTATAACAATGTTCATTGCAGCACTATTTATAATAGCCAGGACATGGTGGCAGCCTAAATGGCCATCAACAGAAGATTGGATAAAGAAGATTTGTTACGCATATACAATGGAATATTACTCAGCCATTCAAAGGAGCAAAATAGTGCCATTTTCAGAGATGTGGATATACCTAGAAACTGTCATACAGAAGAAATAAGTCAGAGAGAAAAAATATCATATATTATTGCATATATTTGGAATCTAGAAAACTAGTATAGATGAACCTATTTGCAGGGAAGGAATAGAGGTGCAAATGGAGAAAACAGACATGTAGATATAGGTGGAGAAGGAGATGGTGAGATAAATTGGGAGATTAAAAGAGACACATGTGCTTTACCACGTGTAAAATAGAGAGCTAGTGGGAGCCTGCTCTGTGCAGGGGGTGCTTAGCTTGGTGATCTGTGATGACCTAGATGGGTAGAATGGGGAGGGAGTGGGCAGGGGGTCCAAGAAGGAGCGGGTATATATATACCTCTAGCTCATTTACTTTGTTGTACAGCAGAAACTAACACAGTGTTGTAAAGCAACTATACTCGAATTAAAATAATTTGTCAAAAAAATATACAAATAATGCTGGAGAGGGTGTGGAGAAAGGGAACCTTCCTATACTGTTGGTGAGAATGTAAATTGGCACAACCACTATGGAGAACAGTATAGAGGTTCCTTAAAAAGCTAAAAATAGAACTACAATATGGACCCATCAATCCCATTCTTTGGCAAATATCCATAGACAATCATAATCCAAAAGCATACACGTACCCCAATGTTCACTGCAGCAATATTTACAAACAGCCATGTCACTGAAGCAAGCTAAAGTTCATCAACAGAGGAATGAATAAAAGTGTGGTACATATGGTATACTTACATGTGGAATCTAGTTTCTAAAAAGATATAAATTAACTTATTTACAAAACAGAAGCAGGCTTACAGATATTGAAAACAAACTTACAGTTATCAAATGGAAACCTGCGGCATGGGGGAATAAATCAGGAACTTGGGATGAACACACACACTCTACTATATATAAGATAGATAACCAACAAGACACAGGAAACTATCCAATATTCTGTGACAAACTATATAAGAAAGAATCTAAAAAACATGAATATATTTATACATATAACTGAATCACTTTGCTGTACATCTGAAACTAGCACAAAACTGTAAATCAAGTATACTCCAATAAAATTAAAATGTTAAAAATTTTTTTTAAAAACTTGTCTGAAGATTTCAAAATAACCAGTCAATACTGGACACTTTACAGCATTTAATTCAGGAAGTACACCTGGAAATTTCCAGCTCTTAGGAGCTTAATACTTAGTTTTAGTTCACAAATTCCTATTTGCTTTAACTTCAGTTTTATGTTTATATTTCCTCATAGGGAATGTCCCTGAAAAGTCCATCAGGCATTTCACTGTGAGTAAAATGGAAAGGGAAGTATACTCTATACTTGTGGATTCATAAATTACCTATACTGTGTGAAATAGAACAATTATACACAGCTGAAGTATATACGTTGGTATGTATGAAACCAACACAAAGCACTTAGTCACAAATACATCCATAATATGAAAACCTAGTCAACTGAGATCATATACTTAAATTTAGTGTTCTAGAAACTTATCAAGAACCAAAGTAAATTATTTTTGATGGTATCCAAGGGAAAGGAAAAAAAAAAAAAAGGCTTCCCTGATAGTTCAGTTAGTAAAGAATCTGCCTGCAATGCAGGAGACCCCGATCGATTCCTGGGTTGGGAAGATCCCCTGAGAAGGGAAAGGCTACCCACTCCAGTATTCTGGCCTGAAGAATTGAATGGACTCTATAGTCCATGGGGTTGCAAAGAGTTGGACATGACTGAACGACTTTCACTTTCACTTTCAGATGAAAATGGGCTTCTCAGGTGGCCCTAGTGGTAAAGAACCCATCTTCCAATGCAGGAGATGTAAAAGACATGGGTTCAATCCCTGGGTAGGGAAGATTCCCTGGCGGAGGGCATGACAACCCACTCCAGTCTTCTTGCCTGGAGAATCCCATGGACAGAGGAGCCTGGTAGGCTACAGTCTATAGGGTCGCAAAGAGTCAGACACGACTGAAGTGACTTAGCACTGCAGCACGCAGATAAAAATGGATGTCAACAGTCATTGAGTCCAGCTGCTCTTCTCAAACATGGGAAGACAAATTGAAACATCAAATAGTTTGGATTCTAGGATCTCAGTAATTAGCTCCATTCCCATCAAGGAAATGGGAATGACTACTTCCTTTCAATCACTGGCTTGGTGCCCTTCATAATCTGTTCTCTTTTTTACAACCTTGGAAATCTTTTCAAAGTACAAATCTGGCCAAGTCACTCCTATGCTTATAACTCTTCAATGTCTTTCTCTGCTCTTAGGGTTAAGTGGAAACCTCTTAACATGTAATATAGCTTCAGTTGGTCTGATTTCAATCTGTCTCTTCATCCTGATTTCAGACTATTCCTCTTATTCTAAAACTGTGTTCAGGGTTTTTTGACCTCAGTACTAGTTTATTGTAATAAAGTGTTTACTTTTGGTTTGTGGTCTCCTCCATGAACCTGGAAGTCATATTTATGTTGTTTATTGTAACATTAGTGCCTATCATAGTGCTTGGAATATAGTAGGTATTAGACAAGTATTTGTTGAAAAAAACGAAGGAGGGAAGAACATACAAACAGATAAGAGGAAAAGGGTTATTTTGAGGATAAACATAAAACTATTTTTATAAAGCTTTAGTAGAAATTACAAGATTTGGGACCAGTAGGAGAAAGTATCTTTTACAGTCTACACAGATGGCAGCCCAATGTGTTCATCTATGCCCCATTTATGTTTTTATCAGCAGGAAGTGGTTGGAGGTGGGGCAGATCATAATAGAACAAAATGTTTCAATGCTTGCTATATTTGAAATGATTCAACTTTTTAGACATTATAGATTACCAAGTATCATTACAAACTTCCACCAATGTGATAAAGATTATGAAAATTTAAAGACAGCACCAAAATGCTCAGACTCTGTGTGACTTGTGGGTTTCCTTTATTGGTTACATGTAAACAAAGCCAGCTACAGCAATGACAGTTAAGCTCAGGGTATGAGCTCCTTGCATGATTGATCCATTCTTAACACATCATTTTTTAAATAATGGGCTTTCTGTAAATCTATACTGACTTATACAAACAGGAAACATAAATATTAGCTCCATGATGGGAAAAATCATAAGCATGGTAAAAGGATATAAGTTTTGGGATTGATCCTCAGGAATTTTCCTTACCCTGTGGTTTAGAGCACAAAGTGCACTTAACTAGAGAAGCTTCAGATCAGTGTTGAAACTTTTGAAGAGATTTAATATGGAAATCTTTGTGACATCATCTATATTATGCCCAAAATTGTGTCAGAAAAATTGGGAGAAATTGAAAAGAGGCAATACCCTTATATAAATACCCTAAAATGACATGCAGTTCTTAAGAAACATTTTCTTGCTTTTATATTTATAATTTCTTCCCTTTCTCATGTGCTCCTCAGGAATCAGGAAATATTTATCTTTCATCTAAAAAAACTTAATTTTATTTTATGTAGATGTGGTACCAAAAGCTTCAAAATATCACCATTTTGTTTCTTATTATAAATCAACATTTATTATCTATATATTTAAACTTTCTGCTCCTGGGGTTTTTGCTGTTGTTTTTGTTAGCCTGAGTAAATGTGGTAGCCATGTTAATAAAAAATATCAATGGCACTATTTCTACTTTACAGTTTTAAGAGTGTGATATCTGAGTCATTTAAATCATGGAACCAGTGAAATAGCTTTTACACCAAAGCTTACTTAACACTGGTCCTCCCTTGTGGCTCAGCTAGTAAAGAATCCGCCTGCAATGTGGGAGACCTGGGTTTGATCCCTGGGTTGCGAAGATCCCCTGGAGAAGGGAAAGGCTACCCATTCCAGTATTATGGCCTGGAGAATTCCATGCACCATGCACTGTATAGTCCATGGGGTCGCAAAGAGTCAGACATGACTGAGTGACTTAAACACACACACACACACACACATTACTTAACATTTAGCCAAAAGCAATCAGGAGATATTCATATCATTTTCTTAGTATAGAGATGCTTATCTTACCAATGCATTTATTCACTAATTTAATAAATATTTATAGAGGACTTATTATGTGCTAAACATTTTTTGTAAGTTTTGGAGATATAATGATGAACAGACTTGGTCTCTGCCCATATGGAGCTTAATATCTAGTGGGTGAGATGACATCTACCAGGCACAAAATAAAGTTGATTTCAGTTGTCAAAATGTGTGGAGTTGTCAGATATGACCTTTAAGATGGATAAAGTTTGAAGTTTTACTCTGTACCCAGTATATATTTAGAAAGTCCCTATTTATATTCATTATCCAGAAAAATAAAAAGAGACAAATATCTTTTCTATCCAAAGTCAAATGACTTTTATAAACATGGAGAAACATTTTGAAAGTATTAGAATTTCCAGTGTGATGCAGACTCTTAATATTTTCTCTCCTGTATTTTAAACAGGAATACCTAAGAAGGACAGAGACTGTGGGAAATGACAAACCTGATTTACCTCTCAATCAAGTCAAGTTTTCTGTGTCCTTTCTTAGGGTGCAATTTAAATTTTGTGTCATAATTGCTATCTTTCAGACTGGATGGATCTACTCATTATTATCTTAGAGAATAACAGGATCAAGAAAAAATAGAGTGTCACAAGTGACAGGCTATGAGCATTAGGCAATGGCAAAGAACACTTACTGGTAAGTGGTTGGGCTGACATTGATGCGTCGAGGGTGACTTCCTGATTCAAATTTGCTTGCCAGAGTGACATTATTTCCAAACAGGCAATATCGTGGCATTCTTACCCCAACAACTCCAGCCAGCACAGAGCCTGAGTGAATGCCTATCCTCATCTAAAGAAAAGGAAAAAGAAAAAGGATATGTTTATGTTTTCATTTCATATGCAGTTATTTTAACGAGAGGTTGTTATTGTTGTTCAGTCACTATGTCCTGTCAAACTCTTTGTGACCCCATGGACTGAAGCATGCCAGTCTTTCCTGTCCTTCAACATCTCCCAGAGTTTGCTCAAACTCATGTCCATTGAGTCAGTGGTGCCATCCAACCATCTCAGCCCCTCCTCCTTCCCCTCAATCTTTCCCAGAATCAGGGTCTTTTCCAGTGAGTTGACCCTTTGCATCAGGTGACCAAACTATTAGAACTTCAGCTTCAGCTTCAGCACCAGTCCTTCCAGTGAATCTGAAAGGGCTGATTTCTTTTAGGGTTGACTGGTTTGACCTTCCTGTCCAAGGGACTCTCAAGAGTGCTCACAAGCACTTCAACTTGAAAGCATCAATTCTTTGGTGCTCAGTATTCTTTATGGTCCAACTCTCATATCCGTATATGACTACTGGAAAAGCCATAGCTTTGACTATGCAGACCTTTGTCAGCAAAGTGGTGTCTCTGCTTTATAATACACTGTCTAGGTACTGCTGAACTATTTAACTCCTAGCTTCTCAAAGACAGGAACTGGGGGTCTTCATCATTTTAATCAGCCATATCTGGACTATTATACTATTAGTGAACACAGATGTTGTGGAAAAAAATGAATGAATGGATTTATTGTAAGAAAAAACACTACATTTAATTTTCTACATGAATCCAGTTATCTTTTATGTTAAATCAGGCTTTATTTGTACCTAATATGCTCTAAATGTTCTCCCTCCAGTTATTTTCACATAAAACCTTCCTTTTCCCTTCATAGCATTAAACACAATTGTAAATTAAATGTTTATATTTCTTTTTATCTGTTTATTTAAAATATTTTCCTCTCTATTTTAGATTTCTAAGTTTACTAATCTTCTCTTTGTAAAACCTTATCTTTTTCTAATCACATCCAATGCCTTTTTCTTTTTAGATATTGTGATTTTCATTTCTCAACATTCAATTTGAACATTTAAAAAAATCTTTCAGGTATCAAATTAATTTCTGAACATACAGAATACTAGTAAAATAACTGTTTTAATACTTTTGCCTACTAATTCTAACATAGGCTCCAGTTCTGTGTCAATTTTGATTGACCAATTTTTCTCATTATTATGGGTTATATTTTTCAGCTTTTCTGCTTAGTAATTTTTGGTTAGATATCATGAATTGACTTTGTTGAGTGCTGGATATTTTTACATTCTTATATATATCCTTGAGCTTTGGCCTTGGATGGGGTCAAGGTACTTGGAAACAGTTTTTCTTTTTTCTTCCAAATCTTGGTTTTTAAAATTTGTTAGGCAAGTCATGAGCTGTGTTTCATGTGGGACTAATTATTCGCCACTACTGAGGGAAGAGCCTTCTGAGTATTATACCAAATGCCTATGATTTATGAGCTTTTTCAGTCTTCCTGGTGGGATTAGACATTTTTTCTAAGTCCTGTGTGAATTCTGGGAATTTTTTCCTAATCTTTTCAGGTGTTTTTCCCCCCACTGGGCTAAGGTAGTTTTGTCACATACAAACAATTATCAGTAATTTAAGGAACATATAGGAGGCCCGTTGGAAGATCTCTGGTAGTCTCTCTGCAACTCTCTTCTTAGTGGTACTCTGTCCATGCATTCTAGCTTTCTTGGTCTTCACAGACTCTCAGCTTCAACTCTTCAACCTGGGGAGTTTGTTGAGTTCCTCCTGATTTGTCTTTCCCTGAACAACTTGAACATATCCCCTCAAAATATGCCAGGGAAATCATATATTTCCTCTTGTTCTCTTGACTCTCAGGCATCACTGCCTCCCATTGCCTAATGTCCAACATTATGAAACTGTTCTTTTGTATATTTTGTCCGTATTTTTAACTGTTGATGGTGGGAGTATAAATGCAGCCCCTGTTTTTCCACATTTGGTGGATGCAGAGATGAGACATGTTTTATTTTAGGAATGCAAGTTACCTTAAAAATTTAGGCCTATTTCTGATGAGAGATTGTCTATTTGGATTTAAAAGTTAAAAAAGGTAATTTTTAGCATAAGCTCCTATGCCTGACACAAAGTGAGGCCAAACAAACCAAAATGTTGGAGTTTGGAGCAGAGAAAAAGTTTTGTTGCTGAGTGACGCAAGGAGACAGGGAGCTCGTGCTCCAAAAATTTTTCAAGGTCCACAAAGTATTTCAGCAAAGTATTTTTAAAAGTCAGGTGAAGAAGAGCATTGCCAGTTATATGTATTTGATCAGTTCATGCACAGTTCTCTGATTGGCTGATGGTGAGGAAACAGGGTGGTGTCGCAACAGTTAACGTTATCAGTCCTTAGGTACTAGGAGGCACAGGGCTATGTGTCCATGGTCATGAAGTAGTTAACAACTTCCATTTGGTGAGGGGCAGGGGTTCATAATTGTAAAACTCAGGAAATGCATAGCAAACTATTATCTAGGTACCTCAGAGAGGACATGCAGGAAGGCCTGTCCCAGGAAAGCTCCATAGGGTCCTGCTCAGTTATATAATGAAAGGTAGTACTCCTTATAAACAGCATAAAGCACTGTTTTCTAAAATTAGCAAAGCATTTTGACAAAATATTATTGTATATTTTTGGGCTTCTATTTGCTTTCAGAGGGTTTATTATATTAAATTAATTTTAGGACTGCCTAAAAACACCCAGACCTTAAATATTGTCAAGTTATTGATAATTAAAGGTTGACAAAGATGTCAGGTTGGACCTATGATCCTTTTAAGTGGAAAGACAGCAGAAATGATCAAACAGATACATTGTACAGCCTCTATATTCTGTGTTTATAGTCTCAGAAGAAGACTCCATACCTCACACCAACTATACTGAAGGGTTATATGGTACCACCTCTGCCTCCTTTCAAAAGACCTGAGGCTGTTTCTTGTTTTAAAACCAAATTATCATAATGATAATTATTATAACAACAACAAAAAATACTGAAGATAAAAACCCTGGTATTCTTAAGAAAGGTTGATGGAGAAATGGTCATTTTGGAAAACCCTTATGTCTTCAGTTCAGTTCAGTTCAGTCGCTCAGTTGTGTCCAACTCTTTGCGACCCCATGAATCGCAGCACACCAGGCCTCCCTGTCCATCACCAACTCCCAGAGTCTAGCTAAACCCATGTCCATCAAGTTGGTGATGCCATCCAGCCACCTCATTTATCTCTTAGAAGACTACTATAAAATATGCACGAGAATATCAACAAACACAAAAAATAGCAGGTAGGCAAAGGAGAGAGCTACTTTTAGCTGTCAGTGAGGGATTTAGATTCACTTTGGCAAGATTAAACTTTAATTGGTTAACCATTGGTAACATGTGCATCCCTCGGTCAGTGCGCCCTAGTTAAAGAGGACTGCTCTGCACTAAAGCAGCAGTTGTCACCTGGGGCCGTCTGTGCCCCACAGCAGACATCTGACAATGTCTGGAGTCTTTTTTTTTTTCCCACAACTGGGATGGAGAACTACTACTGGCATTTTTCAGTAGAGCTAGGGCTTCCCTTGTGGCTTAGCTGGTAAAAATCCACCTGCCATGTAGGAGACCTGAGTCTGATCCCTGGGTTGGGAAGATCTCCTGGAAAAAGGAAAGGCTACGCAGTCAAGTATTAGGGCCTGGAGAATTCCATGAGCTGTGTAGTCCGTGGGGTTGAAAAGAATCAGACACGACTGAGCAACTTTCACATTCATAGAGATTCCTTGGATACCTTCCTCTTGTGAAAGAATTTTCCAGTCCAAAATAGCAATAGTGCTGAGGTTGAGAAACCCTGCATTAGACAGATATACAATACACGCTTTAATAAGATCAATGCTTTGGTGAATAACATTAGACTTCACTTTTTAGAGGAAGTTTATGAAAAAAAAATTGTGCTTGTCCTAGAGATTTATTGAAAAACACAATAACTTTAAGACCTATCTTGAAGTTAGGATATCTATTACTCAATCTTCCATACTTATATGAAATGTATGAAATAATGCAAAACTTAGTGGTATATCAAAATTTCTAATAATCAAAAGGTCCAGCTATTTTCATTATACTCTACTGATTATTTGCCAAGGAACATAAACAACTGCATTTTAAGATAATATTTCTTTGAAAACTCTTAAAAAGAGAAGACTTACATAGTTTAACCTCAGCTAGTCAAAACTGTTCTGATTTAGTTAAGAAGGAATGTTTGGATTGGAAGGGCAGCATAGATCCATTAGTCTAGCGCCCTCGGTTTACAAATAAACTAAAGTCAAAAGAAGCACAATGAAAAGAACAAATTAGTGTTAGAGCTAGCTATGGACCACAGGTTAGTTGACTCTGGGTTTAGTGCACTATAAAAAACACCCAAACTAAAAAAAAGAAAAAAAAAATTCTTGGGCTGTTTTTACAAGGCCTATCAGACCAAAGAATACAATTAAAAAAAAAAAAAAAAGATTTAAACTGGTTTGCCTACTTTATATACACAGAAGGGCTAGCACTTTACAATTGAAATTAAAAAAAAAAAATGCTATACACTCATTAAGTCCAGGATCAGAAGACTTCCACCCCTCTTCCACCCTTGTTCATGCTTGGGTGTGTGCTCAGTCGCTTCAGTCATGTCTGACTCTTTGCGACCCTATGGACTGTATCCTGCCAGGCTTCTCTGTCCATAGGAATTCTCCAGGTGAGAATACTGGAGTGGGTTGCCATGCCGTCCTCCAGGGGATCTTTCTGACCCAAGATCAACCTGCATCTCTTATGTCTCCTGCATTTGCAGGTGGGTTCTTTACCACTAGTGCCACCTGGCTTCTCCACACTAAATCTTTCTAACTAAATCTAAACTAAATCTTCTAACTAAATCTAAATCTAATCTTTCTAAATCTATGCCTACTCACCATATCCCCAAAATGCCTAGTGTACCCATTCCTCTGAGTTTTTAGTCATGTTAATAGCCTCACCTGAAATGCCATCCAGAC